CGGCGCCCAATGGTTATAACCCCAGGCACGCGGGGCGGTCTACCCATCATGGACCCTCTAGCCTGGTTGCCCGGGTGCAAGCCATCCGGGCAAATCAGACAGCACACACTGTCCGATGCAACTGGACAAACCCGACACGCTGCTCGGGTGGCCCCACGCGATAGTCGGCTCACATAGGCTGGCCCCATGCGCCCACCGGTGCACACAAGCCCAAACCTGGCCTTACACGCGAGCCGACGTTGCGACTGCAACCCGGCTCCCGCGCCTGTCACGACCGGACCAGCCCTACGGGGCGAGGAGCCCGACAGGCAGGCCCGGTCAGGCGCTCGCGTACGAGCGGGGGCACACCCGACACCGCTCAATGACGATGGCTCCATCCATCATGCACCCTCTATCTGGGTCACTCGGGCACAAGCCGTCCAAGCAAATCGGACAACTTGTGCCGCCCCGAGAGGCTCTCGCGCAAGCTAACCGTAAACGGACAGCCAAAGGTCACTCTCCCCCGCGATGAGCCAAGGGTGACAGGTACTATAGCATCCTTTATAGAACTAATAAGGGTTTTCCTACTAGTGAAGTTTGCGGCTGCGGCGCTTAAGCATTTCATGCATGATTTCTACTCAGTTCACATATCACTGCCCCTTTTAGTGCGGTGGGAGACTTCCATTCAGGAAGGAGCTGACCAACATCTGCGCTCTCTCGGGCTCGTAGGAAGGTACCATGTGCCCGGCTCCCCTCACAGTTGTAAACACCAACCCACCGGTATATCCCTGAGCATACCCTCAAACCGATTATCATAGTGGTAACGAGCAAACAATTGCTAGCAAATCAGGACATGCAGTAATGTTCAATTTACCTCACCATTTACTATCCATGGGGGCCATGTAGTGGTGGAGCTTAATGTGATTTGAGGGAGGGCTAAATGAGTCTTAAATAGAATTTAGGGGGCTAATCTAGCGTAGTATGTTGAATTTGGTGCAGATAGTGTCAATTATTATGTGTTTATGTAAAAGAATAAATTTGGTTGGGGAGGGGGGGGGGCGCTTTGGCCATCATTAAGAGCAAAATTTATTTTCGCAAAACAAATACTCAAGGTATGTGTGACTCCTTATAATTCAATGCTGCTCTCTTACATAGCGGGTGCGGTAGAGTGTTCCTTCATATGCATCCATGCAAGCCGGTGCATATGTGTCATAGGGATCAATGTTAGCAGGATCATGGGCCATAGCATATTACAGTAGGCATGATTTGTCATCTGGCGGGTCTAAATTGCAGTTCTTGGTGATATTGGCCCACACCTCGTCTTATATCACACTATGGATCCACAGGTAGTCAATCTCCTCCTTACCATTCATATTGTCATCAAGGTATGGATTACCAACCATTGTTGAGATTGTGGCTCGGATGGTGGCTGCGATCTGCGGCACATAGTGGCCATTGAAGTTCTACCCGGATGTAGAAGGGGCGGCTTTTGTACTACGAGAACCTTACGAGCCAGTCAACCAGTTAACGAGGAAGAAAAATGTGTCATCTCCCATCCTCTTGTTCCCTCTCTCGCCGTAGTCGGAGGTCGTTGGAGTAGGAAAACCTTACACCGGCTGGCGATTCCCGGAAGAGCACGTTGGCCACTACAAGATCTCACAAGTTGGATATATAATCGATTTGATCGTACAATATAAAAACGTTGGTAGTTAAGTTGCCACTATGATCGTCTTTTCTCATTCACATTATAAAAACAGCATAGATGTACCAAGGGTAGATGAACCAAGTAGAAGAAACATTCATCTATCCTGGCAGGTGATTGTCTAATTTCGAAAGATCTAACAACCATCGTCTCATTCATATTCTCTTGTGCTTCCAGTTCATATCTCTTTTGCTCCCCATAGGCCACAAAATTGCGCTAAATGCCTCCGTTCCCTCGAATCTCCAGTTTTATTAGCACAAGTGCCACTCACTATATAAAATATTTCCTTTTTTTCATAAAACATAAATTTGTCAAATTTTAAATTTCAAATGAGTTTATATTTTTTTAGTTATGTATGTTGCACCCAAAAAATCCGAAAACATTTATGCACATGGTAGTAATTGTGTGATGTTGATCTGCAAAGTTTCGACTTCAAATGTTCTTTTATTTTGAAGAAACAAAAAAGAGATGTTTGCTTGCACCATTTTGATGCAAAAATGGATAGTGAGGATAGAGGTTACACTCATATGGTAGTACAATCAGAACTTTCCGGTTCTTCCCGACTTCGGATAAATGAATTCCTAATCACCAAAGTAGCGATTGTAAGCACGCTCATGAAAGCAGCTTGCAATAAAGATCAATATTTTTTTTACGGTATATAGACTTCATTCCTTGAATGATCGACATATCGTCTACAAGGGAATGAGAAACAAAGTCAGGGATTTCGAAGTGTCCCAAAAGCTAGAGGATCTAGTGCTAAAAGAATTTTTTGCAAGTCCACCCACCACCTCATTAGTTTCATGGAGACCGTGCACATAACATACTTTTGTAAAGTCAATGGCCAATTTCTTGCACTCCATGATGATTGCCACATCCAAACCGAGATATGCATCTATTTGTTGCACTTATTCCGCTGCAAAGATGCAGTCTGATTCAACATGTAAGATCAAGTACAATAGTGGGCTATACGCCTGCTTACATGGCACTTTTGCCTATGTGGAAGAGAGACAAGCAAAAAGGGAGGGAATGCAAGAGCAAACCTCTACACGTGCTCCTAGGTAAAATGAGTAAATGAGAGGAAAGCGAAAGAGAGAGTGAAGAAAATCACTAGGCTAAGAGCCAACTTTATAGCCAACCCTATTATACGAGTCAATGGTATTGCTAGCTCTTGATGACAAGGCACTCTTATATAGCTAGTTGCTAGCCATATTATTAGCCATGCTCTAAATTGTTGCACCTAATATTTTCCGTCAAAAACATGCCATTCCTAATCATAATCATCTTTGTTGCATCATTAGTATATTTTACCAACCATGAAGTTCCACAACCCAGAGGTTGGAACCAGGATGTTGTAGTTCTGGTTTAAATGGAGGTTTGATAACAAGCTATGTAATGCTCAATTCTCCTCACTTTATGTAACTTGTTGTTTTGTTTCCTCCTACGACGCAACTCCTCCGTAAACTTTGTAATAAATTGCATTTTGGGCACTTTTGGGTGCAGAGGTTGAAGAATGTTTTCTCTGCCATTTCCGGGTATACCTAATTGTTGAGAGGAATAATGTTTCCCAAATGATAAGTGCCACAAGTTAGGTGTGTGGCACTCCGGAAGGCAGTTGTAACAAACTAGAGGTGCCATAAATTTGTTGTATATTCAAGAGCCCGTGTCCGTTTGAAGAGGCAAAAGACAGAAAAAAGAAGTTCCTTGCTAAGGCAACACCATATCTGGATGCATGACACCACAATTCTTACTTAGGTCCATAATACTACTGTCCCTTCTCATAGAGTGGAAGCGTTCCTTTCAGGAACGAGCTGAACAATATCAGAGCTTTCTCAGGCTGGAAGTAAGGGACCTGATGACCAGCGCCCCTCACAGATGCAAAAACCAAACCGCCCGTGTATGCTTCAACGTACCCTCCAACCTGCAAAGATTTATCAGTGTCAGTCAGTACAAACAAACAAGTGAAAACTGACTAGAACATGTAGTCATGCTTTACCTCTTTGTTCGCGGTCCATGGGCGCCACGGCTCCGTGATGGCGACGCCAAGGTCATGGATGGAGTACCTCGTGGCGGTAAACGGGCACACGGAGTCGAAATCGCCGCTGAAAACATATTACTATTTGTTACCCACACACTTTGGCAATGTTAGGTGCGTGCTTGCAGTTGCAGTTCAGCCTGGGGTTGGCATGTTACCTACCTGAACAACCACACATGCAGCCCCTGGCCCATGAGCCATTTGAGTGTTGGCACAATGGACGCCGATGAATCTTTCCAGTGCAAGTCCCTGCACAATCACAGTAGTGGTAAGTGGAGTGAGTGGATGCTCACAAGAGTATTTATCTTGGCCCCAATTAAGCTAACTCTTACGTGCAGCCTGCCCACTTGGTCGTTCTAACATGTAGAGCCTTTTGCACCTCAGGATCGTTGAGGTAAGCATCTATGTAATAGCCGGTGCATGGATCATACCCCGGCACCTGCACAATTTAGAGCGGATAATTTTTTTCAGAAATTAGTTATTCGAAGGAAGTGTGCTACGTGCATATATATAATTTGCCACTATCAGAAAAGATGCACTCCAAAATATATCTTACATTGCGGCTGGGGTAGTATTTTCCGTTGGGCGCGTCGATACAAACAGGTCCGTAAATGTCGAAGAGGAGAGTGTTAGCAGTGTCATATGCGGCCATGGCGTCAGAGCATGCGCTTCCATCCGACAGATTGAAATTGCAGCTCTTGGTGATGTTGGCGTACACCTCGTCTGATATCACGGCGTGGCTCCACAAGAAGTCCATCACCCCTTTCGTGTTCATGTTATCATCAAGATATGGGTTGCCCACCTAACCAAGTAGAGATCCACAAGCTATATCATACGATCTTCACTAGGAAATAAATGTGTTAACTGTTATGAAATGTATGTTTAACTAAACATAATCGCGCGTACCAAAATACCCTGTAGGTTTATGGAAGTGTTGTGACTCAAGATGGTGGCTGCGAGCTGCGGCACGTAGTGGCCGGCGTAGCTCTCCCCGGAGATGTAGAAGGAGCGGCCTTTGTACTCCGGGAACCTCTCGAACCAGCTGACGAGGAAGAGGAACGCGTCCTCTGATGTCCTCTGGTCTCCGCTCTTGTCGTAGTCGGAGGTCGTGTTGGAGTAGGAAAACCCGACGCCGGCAGGCGATTCAAGGAAGAGCACGTTGGCCACTGCATGCACAAGCATCAAAACCTTCACGTGTCACGTGTGGGTCGTCCGTAGAAAACCGTTAGCGGTTGTTGTAATGTTGTGACTCCCTAACCGTTGTTCCAGGCGTGCTCGTTTGTGCTGAGGGTTCTGTTGTCGCTGTTGATGCGGAACGGGCCCAGCTCCCCCATTGCTCCGTAGCCGAAGGATGAGCATCCTGGACCTGCACGTCATGGAAATATATCACGTACTGCGTCTCAAAAATGTAAGATCATTTTTGACACTATACGCAGGAGCGAAGCTATGTGTATTCCCTAAGGAGACACAAGTGCATCTCTATGTATGCATGGCCGAACCTCCGTTAAGCCACAGGACGAGCGGCCTCGTCGCCGCGTTGGTGGCCGCCTCGACAAGGTAGTAGAAGAGCGCGCGGCCGTTCTTCTCGTCGACGGTCACGTGGCCTGAGTACTGGCTGAAGCCGACGCCGTTGGGCGGCTGCCCCGGCAGCGCGGCGATCCTGTCGGCATCCTTCTGATCGCTCTGGTCAGAGACAGAGTGCTCTGCTCGGAGGCTACTGGCGGCTGTAGTTCCTATCATTGGCTCATCTACGCTGTTGCTACTGCTACTGGTGCTAGCCCTTTTGGACAGGATCAACTCTCTGAGTCGAGCCTCCTGCGACGCATCTGCGTGCCACGCGGCCACGCAGATGAGGAGAAGGAGGCACAAGGAAGTGTTGCTCATGGTGTTTTCTGAAGAAAATTAGCAGCTGCCGTCGCGTCCACGGATATTTGTGTGGTGTTTCGAGGTGCTTATATAGGTGTAATGTAAGGGAAATGATTGGAAGGAGAATGTTTTGACGCGATCAATCAATCAGTGCTGGAGCCTTGAAAAGTTCTTATGACCGTACTGAGACAAAAAGGAAAAGGAAAGAAAAACAGCATGCCTGTGGGCTGTGGCCATTGTTGCTCAATTGAATACTGCAGATGCCGGCTGTATGTTGTCCAGTTATAGTTTGTACCCAAGCTTAGAAAAGCTTACAGTTAGGAGAGAGCACCACTTGGCATGCTGCCCTGGTGATGTATGATTGTATGAGTTTCCCTATGGGTGCACTCCGGTGTCATTATACGTTGCCAGTGGCAGAACAGTATTTTACCAAGGTTACACTTTGGCGCATGCTGCTGCCATTGCTACTAGGGATTAGTCCTAACTTTTGATTGAAGAATGAGAACGATGATCACTTAGTTACAAACGGTTAGTACTATTGAATAATTAGCAACACAAATCATACATCTTTAAGATTTGAACAATTAGGTCACTATAATAAATCCTAACATCATCATGTTTCGTGTCTTACCCGTCCTTGTATCTTTATAGAAAGAAAAAAACCTATATCCTTGTATAAACTAGCATATGATGAACAAGTGGAGATATTCATGTGCGAACTAGCGGAACGTCTTGCCTCGCTCAGGCCGACGGGTTCATGTTAAATAGATGGGGTGCACCTTCCATAGCAGCGCATACATGTGATTTAGATTACAAGCTTGGAGATCAAGAAAGGAGATAGAGGTAAGAGGTTACATGAGATAAACATGATACTCTAACAACCTAACTATCTCAACTATCTCCTATGAGATGCGCCTGTCATGTCGCGTGACATGTTGACGTGTTTAACAATTCCAACATGCAGTCCTGAGAATTGCCTTGTTTTCATTCTGCTCGTTGCGCAAATACAGTATGATCAAAACTCAAAGATGTTCGTCCGGCGCAAACCAGATGTGCTATTCACTCTATTCTTTTCATGTGAACACCATACAACCCTTTTCAGCACACAAGTGTTAAACCATATGACTATGGCCTGAATATATCGTTATCCGCACTTCATAGTCATGTGTAAGCAGCGATTTATTTATAGAATCCAGCATACGAATCAGAACACACAGTAAATTAACATCTGAGTGCCGAAATATCTCAATTCAGTTTGGGACGTCACCCAGGCGGGAGCCTGCCCTTGAGGAAAGAGTAGAGAAGAACAAGGGCTCTCTCTGGCTGATAGCTAGGAACCAGATGGCCAGCACCCCTCACCGATGCAAACGTGAAGCCTCCCTGGTACTGCTGAACATAGCCTCCAACCTATAAGCCACCGGAAACCCATTAATTTCATCTCAGGTTCAAGCACACATCATATCTGAATTTTACTTAATTAGCTCTCGCTGGTGTCTATTTCTGCACAGCGGTTAATTACCTCGACGTCCGGGGTGTACCAAGCGCGCCATGGCTTGGTGACGGGCAAGTTGAGATCCTTGACCGAGTACCTCGTCGAGGTAATCGAGCATGTGGAATCCAAATCGCCACTGAAGAAAGATGGTCGTTCTAGTTAAAAACCTCAAGATAGATATTTTATTCTGCTCAATGCTCATTGTGCATGTATAGAGTAGTACCTATAGACCCATACGCTTAACCCACGTTCGACTAGCCTCCTGATCGTTGGCACCATGGTAACTGGGCCGGGGTTATAATGGAAGGGGACGCTGGAAGAAACGAGAGTGTGGTGCATATTAGCTGCTGCGCACAAGAGAGAAGAAAAAAAAGGTTGGGGTAGTGTAGCAGCAGAACATTATGCAGATAGATAGAGTATATATACCTTGTTCTTGGGCAAGCTATCCAACTTGTGTTGGTGCGGGCGTGCAGAGCTTCTTGCACCTCGCCAGTGTTCAGGTAAGCCTCGACGTAGTACTCCATGCATGGATCATAGCCAGCCAGCTGGCAAATCAAAAATTGTGGACACTGTGACTGTCTGACTGGCCATAGAAATCAGCAATTCTTATTGGGAAAGAGAGTTGGAGAGTAGCCAAGGGATCGCATCATATCTATCTTACATAGCCTTCGCGTGCTGACGGAAGGCAGATCCTCGGGTCGTATATGTTTCGGGGATAGATGCCGCCTATGTGGAATGCCTGCCCCGCCACAGAGCACCACCGCCCGTCGTCTTTCGGGGTGAAGGTGCAGTTAGCACGGATCCCGGCCCAGATCTCGTCGGAGATCAGCCCGTGGCTCCATAGAAACTCCAGATTCCCCTCGCTGTTCTTGTAATTGTCAAGGATCGGATTGCCGACCTAGATGTAATACAAACGAAACATGCATATGCATGGCTACCGCAAAAAACCCAATAATTCTGCAAAGTCACATGCGAAAGGCTTACGAAGATGCCGCGGAGGTTTATGAAAGTGGTGCGGTGGAGCTCGTTCATGAAGGTGATTACGGTGGCAAGCTGCGGCATGTAGTGGCCACCATAGCTCTCGCCAGCGATGTAGAAGTCGCGGCCCTTGTACTTGGGGAACCTCTCCAACCAGTTGAGCAGGAAGACGAATGTGTCCTCGGCAGTTCTCTGGTCGCCCCGCTTGTTGATATTATCCGGGTTGTTGCTCGCGTAGGAGAACCCCACTCCGGTTGGCGACTCCAGAAAGATCACGTTTGCCACTGCACATATCTAATCAGTTCAGTGTATCTACTCTGCTTAGAAGCCAGCTCCACTTAACAACTTACGGTTGTTCCAGGCGTGCTTGTTCCTCCTCAGAGTCTTGCCGTCGGGGTTCACTCGGAACGGGCCGAGCTCCATCATGGCGCCATACCCCAGCGATGAGCACCCAGGCCCACCGTTGAGCTAGAGGATGAGCGGCTTCGAGGCCGCCTCATAGGGGGCCTCGACGAAGTAGTAGAAGAGCTCGCGGCCGTACTCCTTATTCACCGTGACATAGCCGGCGTACTGGTCGAAGTTGACTCGCGGAGGCTGGCCGGGCAGCGCGGTGATCTTGTCGGCCGCCTTGGGATCGGGCAACGCGTGGGCAGGTGGCTGAAGCTGCTGGCGTCGGCCCATGGGACGTTTTCTTCCTCGGTTACGTTTGCATTACTGGCTCTGTCAGCTTGCCTCTTCTTGGCCGTGGACTCCATGAACCTCATGAGCTGATCCTCCTGTGAGGCATCTGTGAGTGATGCGCCCAGCAGAAGGAGCAACAGGAAGAAGGTAATGGTGTACCTCATCATATTTGCCTCTGACTTCGTTATCTTGTGAAAGATAATTCTGCTGTGGTGGGTATATATATAGGGCGGTGATAGGCGCCGGTGCGCCGGCGCAACTTTCGGCCGGTCCACTCAGAGCCGCACGATCTGGGCGCCCGTAACCGTCAGATCTGTCCCGCATCCCCTTTCTTCATCCTCCCCACACGGGAAAAAAAGAGGAGAAAAAAACAGAGCGCCGCCGCTGCTGGCGAGATCCCGCACGCTGGCCCACACTGCCCTCGTTTGGACCACCGCAGCACCTGCTCGCTGCCGCCGGCCGCGGCCTCACCGCCGCCGGCGAAGCAAAACACCACCCGCCTTTGTCGCCTCTCGCGTTCCTCGTCGGCTACACGAATGCAGCTCCGTACACGCGTGATTGCAGCTCTGGTGGAGGCGGTCGCAACTCCGATGGCCAACAGTCGCCGGCCGCAAACACCGGTCGGCAAGCTTGCAGTGTACCTCGCCTCTGTTGCTGTCCATGGTTGCAGCACTCTGGTGCATCATCCATGGTTGAAGCAGAAAAAAATGCCGGTTCCAGCATAATCGAAAGACGGTGGTAGCATTTTTTAGGCTGGTTCCAGCAAAAACAAAACAAAAACAAGGGTGACAGCAAAAAATCCTGATGCTTCCAACAAGACTCTGGTAGTAGCAAATGGCATCTCCAACAGTAGCAAAAATCAAAGATAGTTGCAGCAAAAAAAGCCATCGCCCCCGTCGACCAACACCGCCGTGGGTGGATGTAGCAAAAATTATCTTCGGTTCCAGCAAAATCAAAATATGGTTGTAGCAAAAAAATGATGGGGAAACAGAAGATATAGTTCGCATGTCACGGAGATGGATGTAGCAAAAATCAACAAACACTGGTAGTAACAAAAAATCAAAACGGTTGTAGCAAAATGGTTTGTCGGTTGCAGCAAAAATCAGCGTTGTAGCAGATTCTTGGGAGGGGGAGGGGGGTTGTGGTAGCAAAAACGTGGGCCGGTTCCAACAAAATCAAAATATGGTTGTAGCAAAAAAATCAACGGTGACGAGAGGAGGGCAGTGATTGTCTGAGCAGACGACGGCGACGAGAGGACAACGGCGACGAGAGGAGGCGGTGACGTAGGGAGATACTGCAGCCACGGTCGCCGCGAGCTGGAACCGGCTGGCTGGTGAGCTGCAGTCTTATGACAGAAGCATGGCGCGGCCGTGGGACGAGCGCGGTCGGCACGGGTGGCCGGCGAGTAGGAGCGGCAAAACGGCAGCAACGGTGGCTGCCGGCGGCGACGGGAGCTTGCAGTGGTTCGTGAGCAGCTGGAAGGAGAGAGAGAAAAATCATGGCTGTGGAGTCTCGGCCAAAGGTAGAAGAAAGAAAAAAAAGAAGGACCAGGGAAAAGGATAAGGATGGGAGAGCAGGCGGTTGTGCAAGCCCCACCAGATACACGTGTCTTACTCGAGGGTTGTTTTCGTGGACGCTGAGGCCAGCCTGGCGCGCGAACCGGCGGAATTTTCAGCCGGTGCGCCGGCCCCAACCGTTTTCCATATATATATGGGGCAGCTCAGGAGTTTGGTTGCTATTTCGCTCTTCTCCACCCAGTACAAATCCACGAGCGTACTGCTCAGAGGCTTATGGTTACTAAGAAACTAACAAGTTTGTTGCAATTAGTACACCACTATGTCTATTGTGACCAAACTGCTTGGTGCCAAAGTATCTGGTGAACACTGCTATATTTTCTTGTAGTGTAGCTGCTTGTTTGGTTTGGATTCTCCGAAGAGAGTTCTGAGTTTACATGGAGCGAAAGGTCAAAGTGAGACGATAATAGCTAACTCTGAGCGGTGGGTTAACTCAATGTCTTACAGCCAATTTACTTTGACTAGCAAAAGAGCCCGTGCGTTGCAACGGGACAGAAAAAATACACGCTCTTAACCCAATGACCACGACTCGAGACCCTGATAGGTAGACGTTCTTTATTTAAAATGGCATCACATTTGTGTTCCCGACGGTGGTCTCACTGCTCACACAACGAAAATGCATTTGAATGTGGTCAGTTCTAAGGCGTCTCTCTCTCACACACACACGCGCGCGCTCGCTCGCACGCACACAATCGCTCAGAATAAGATGAGAAAAGTGTTGTTTTTTCCCGCGAGGTTTTTCTGAGTTGTGTATGCGTGGTTATCAATATTTTTTCCCACTCAATCTGGTTTTAATGTGTGTTTCTTTGCAATTTGGATCGCCGCCGGTGCGAAAGAAAAACGGACCGTGCACTATAGATTAAGTTTGCACCCAAATTAATAGTTTAGAAATATTTAACAGCTAAAAGTAACAGCATATTTAGATTCTACACATTTTTCTAATCAAATTTCATATATAATATGTTAAAATCGGAGTTACGGTTTAAAATATATGGATAATTTTGTTTTAGATAAACTGCGGATTGATTAACCGAAAGGTTAGGGGGTTTTCTGTTAAAATACAAAAAACGATTCGTATGACTTAAATATGGACGGCGGGTTGATTACCTGAAATCTCAAGGGGTTTTCTAAAAAAGTTAAAAAAACGGTTCGTTATGACTTATAGATGGACTGCGGGTTGATTTCAACAAACTGTAGGGACTTTTTTGCAAATAGGGATGAGGACGACGGAAACCCACAGCGCTTTATTATTAGGTAGAGATTAAGACCAAGCCTCTGAAAAGTCTTCTTTAGTACAGATGGATTGTACATGGTACTTTCTTTTTTCTTTTTTTCACAAAGGAAGTGTCCCTCCTGGCATCTGCATCCTTTGATGCACACGGCCATAATTTATTAAAGTTTATGCAAGGTAGTGATGCCATAGAAAAACCAACATACAAAGTATAATTAAGACAATGACAACTTTGGTAAATCTATTAGTATATGATATGCAGAAAACGCCTATGACTAAATTGACTTCTTCTGCATCCACGCCTTCAAGAAGGGATAGCGCTCTCACGCACCATCGCCATGTCTGGCCAGGACAAAGGATTTTCATCTGGATGCGAAGACCAACCAATGAAGGCCAGAACATTGGCATGGAAGCCTTTTTTGACGAAACCTCGTCAGAGGGTGGGGAGCTCCCGCATTTGCATATAAAAGAAGAGAGTTGGTCCGGTTAATAAGGGAAACCGTACCCAAAAACCATACATGCATCGGTTAATTAAGGGAAACCGGCGAAGACCACACACACCGGACTAGCACTCAAGGGACGTCGTCCGAGCCAGATACAAGGGTGCCGAGGCATGGAAGCCTTCAACAAGGTAATGACGCAGTTCACCGCTGTTGTGGCAACCAGTGAAGGTTGCACAATGAGTTTTCACTCTGGACATGAAGCGGTGCTCCAAACAACATTTTACAAATGGATCATCCAATAGTTGCATAAGCTAGTACCCCACAAAGAACCACCATGGTGTCCACCAGAGGAGTCCAGACGTCTTTCCCGACACCTCCTCCCAACCATGCACCAATGAAGCACATGCGCAAAGGTGTCATCTAGCCAACCACATCACAAAGAGGAGTGTCCTGCCAGCAATGACGAGAGGGGGCAGTGGCACTAACGGATTGGTGGACGTCTTACCGCCTATAACACCACCACTGTCGTCGAGGAGACATCCTACTCGTCAGTGGCGGATCTAGAATTACAATACGGGGGGTGCCACTCAGAAAAAAAGAAATGCGCAGAGCTCAAAACTTAAGTGTAATGCAAACATCGCAAATTTACATATTGTGACAATTATGAAAATGTCAAAAACGTACAAGATATTACCTTGTTTGACTGCTAGAGACTCTGTACATCCTTCTTGGTGTTTATTGCAGCTGAATTTGCTCATCCATACAAGATATGAGATAATAAGTAACTAGTATTTGGCCAACAAACAATACATTGAGCATAAGAGCTTGCATATTTGCATAAGAAGAGAATAGAAACAAGTGTATATACCTACCGGAATAGCAGCCAAGAGCAGGCACGCAACACATCAGGTCCCTCTGACCTCCATTCGTCCTTCTCTGCACAGGAGGAACAAAAAACAGCCGCAGCACAGTAGTTTGATAATTGATCTCCATTTCTTTCCACTGCCCAGAGAGGTGGAGTAGGAGTTTGATGTCCGCTTCCTTCGGTGAATCTGTCGCCAACTCTAACAAGTTATTCTTGAGCAGTCCTTGCCTCTTCTCGAGTGTGCCCTTCTACTAGAGCAGTAGCAGACGGTGATGACGACGGTCCTACTTTTTGCACCTTTGCTTCTTCATGCTTCCGAAATAGAGACACTATGGGATTATCTCTCTTTACATCTCAACTCTCAAACAACAGTTTTTGGATCAACACAAGGGCCAGGGGGTCAGGCAACAATTCAATCAAAAATCACAAAGGGGAAGATTCTAATGTACAGATGTATGTACTGTACTTACACTAGGTTGTAGCCTTGTATAGGTTTAGAGAGATGGAGATTGGAGTCGGAGAGTGAGAGGACAGCACGCCGAAACGCGCCCAGCCGGCAGCCGCCCACGCCGGTCGCCTCCGCCCTCTGGTCGGCGACCGCTGTCCCCGCCGGCCGCCGCAGCGCTGCAGCG